GGAAGAAGTTTCTATTCCATTAAAGCAACCCACCGTGTACACTTGTCGATATTGAGCGATGATTCATATTCATTGTTAACTCACGATGGAGGTGATGAATTTGAAATGAAAACCAACCATGATATATTAAGTCTAAGTTCAGGGTAGACTTATTGTATCTCCATTCGGACCTTTTGAGCAAGCACATTTAAAGTCATTCATATTAATTCATCATGTAACTGTCATGCATGTCATATTAGCCGATCATGGGTGTTAAACAACAAATTATACCCTTAATATATTCCAAATTCTTTCTTTAATTAATTCACTATTTGGGAAGGCGGTTATAGCTTGACAGATAAATATATATTGTTGAAGATAGTATATTGATAACGGTAGATGTTATAGCCTGACAGATAAATGTATATTGTTGAAGATTGTATATTGATATCGGTAGATGTTATAGCCTGACAGATAAATGTATATTGTTGAAGATTGTATATTGATATCTGTAGATGTTATAGCCTGACAGATAAATATATATTGTTGAAGATTGTATATTGATATCGGTAGATGTTATAGCCTGACAGATAAATGTATATTTTTGAAGATTGTATATTGATATCTGTAGATGTTATAGCCTGACAGATAAATGTATATTGTTGAAAATTGTGTATTGATATCGGTAGATGTTATAGCCTGACAGATAAATGTATATTGTTGAAGATTGTATATTGATATCGGTAGATGTTATAGCCTGACAGATAAATGTATATTGTTGAAGATTGTATATTGATATCGGTAGATGTTAAAGCCTGACAGATAAATGTATATTGTTGAAGATTGTATATTGATATCGGTAGATGTTATACCCTAACAGATAAATGTATATTGTTGAAGGTTGCATATTGATATCGGTCACGGCTGAGATGTTATAGCCTGACAGATAAATGAATATTGTTGAAGATTGTATATTGATATCGGTAGATGTTATAGCCTGACAGATAAATATATATTGTTGAGGATTGTATATTGATATCGGTAGATGTTATAGCCTGACAGATAAATATATATTGTTGAAGATTGTATATTGATATCGGTAGATGTTATAGCCTGACAGATAAATATATATTGTTGAAGATTGTATATTGATATCGGTAGATGTTTTAATCATTTGTGTCGTTTGGTTACTGTCTCAGTTACGAATGACCAACGGCTGTTTTTTCCAGAACTCAACACCCTCGTAAGTTTAGTGGTAGCGTGCCCGCCTTTGGTGCTGGAGATCTAAACTTTCATCATCTCCTAGGTAAAGCAATGTAAAGATCCTTAAATTGACATTTGCTGCTTATCCTTCATACATGCGGTATTTATGAGGAAGTGGAAAGACCGGTTGGTTCGGAGTTAGAATAATGGGTCCGGGTAGACGTATTGTATCTCCATTCGGACCTTTTGAGCAAGCACATTTAAAGTCATTCATATTTATGTATCATGTAACTGTCATGCATATGCATGTCACATTAGCCGCTCATGGATGTTAAACGGCAATTAATTAATCCCCTTTTTTGTTCATATCCACGATCCGTCAATCGATAACCATAACACGTCAACACTCGGAGATCGTTTAACAAAAAGCTTGCATTGTTGGAGGGATTATTTGTCGTGATCATACTGTACCATATTTTTGATTTGACCATTTTTACAAGAGTTATGGGACTTTGACCATTTTTTGGAGTGTTGCAAAATGACACCCTGTAAACGGAACTCTTCTGACACTGATGATCACTCAATGATGTTTCAGGACTTGACATGATTACCAACTTGTGTGAAAAAAATTCAGTGTTATGTACATTTATTTCTATTGTTATATGCTGACGACACAATATTATTAGCTGAGAGTCCCGAAAAATTGCAAACTATGTTAGAAAAATTTGAGAACTACTGTACACAATGGAAACTAAAGGTGAACTCACAGAAAACAAAAATTGTTATTTTTTCAAAACGAAAATCCAGACTGAATTATGATTTTAAATTATTTGGTGAAACATTAAAAGTTGTCGATGATTGCTCTTACTTGGGTTTAACTCTAAAATATAACGGTAATTTCTTTCTAGCAAAAAAAAACTTGATGCAGCAAGCAAAAAAATCACTTTTTCCTCTGTTTAGACGTACTAGAAATTTGATTATTCCAGTAGATCTTCAGTTAAAATTATTTGACAGTTTAGTGTCAACTACTTTGCTATATACCTCTGAGGTCTGGGGATACGAAAATATGAAGGATATTGAGAAATATAAAAAGAAGATGTGGTATGATTGCCAACTCTCCAAAAGAGACCAAATGACACAGAAATTAACAACTATAGGTCACCGTAAGGCCTTCAACAATGAGCAAAGCCCATACCGCAAAGTTCATTTGCAGTTTATTAAGAAGATCCTGGGAATTCGTACTAGTACACCAAATTATATGGTTTATGGAAAAGTGGAAGATATCCGCTGCACATTCAAGTAAAACTTAGAATGTTGAACTTCTGGAAGAAATTATTTCAAAACCCAAGTAAGTCATCAGGTATATTGTATAAATTATTGTATACATTACATGGTACACATAACACATACAATAAAGAATTTGAACTTGAACTTGACACCATAATTTGACAGAAAGCCCTCATAATTGACACAATTTCTATTGACCATATTGTACCATCATTTTGATTTTTAATTATCATAAGAGTTTTCGGACTTTATGAAATCAAGAAGATGTGGTATGATTGCCAATGAGACAACTCTCCACCAGAGACTAAATGACGTAGAAGTTAGAAACTATAGGTCATCGTACGACCTTCACCGATGAGCTAACCCCATATCACATAGCAAGCTACAAAAGTCCCCGAAATGACTCATGTAAAACAATTTAAACGAGAAAACTAACGCCCTAAAAAAACAATAAAAGACAAATAAATTTGATATACAGCAACAAACGAAAACCGTTGAACTACCGGCTCGTGACTTGGGACAGGTACATACAGAATGTGGCGGTATAACACATGCTTGCGGAAGCACCCCCAACCTTGGCAAATGGTGTAAACGCACAACACTAGAACACACCATAAAAATCCGTTGAAACAATCTAATTAAAATGCAGATTTCTGATTTCGTTATGCTCTCCGACGATCGATTGAACGAGTTACGAAATATCTGAATTTTAATCAGATTGCAGTTGAAAGGGCTAAGTTTACGACAAAAGAGACGATTTTTCGTTCCTGATGGTTAATTTTACCTCTTTGACTTTGAAGTTCATTAGGCCGCTTCTTACCGTATATTTCACAATGTGTTCGCTATGCCCGTGTCTGAAGTCGCGTTTTAGATTTCAGTGAACGTAATTTATACATATAATTGGCAAACTATTAAGTCCTGGATTTCGTCACCACAAATTAATTGAAACCTTTACCAATTTCTTCAATAAATACAAAGATTTGGTTAGGAAGTTTGGCTGTCCCTGTAGATTATTTTTTTTTATTATCAAAAACGGGTTATCACATCCCAATTTTTACGATGATTTTGTTTATAGAGCCCGTAAAATGATAAGTTGGATTCATTTATTCTTAAAGGTTATAAATTTAACACAGTAGTAAAATCTTCAAACATGGTTTTATCGCTACTAACTTTGATTTTGTTTTTGAAAAATTAAAACATAACTAAATATATATGTACAGTTATGAGAACTCATGAACATACATCCTGTCGATACTGTTTGCTTATATTTTGGCATAGCAAAAGGTCATAATTATATAGTTTCTCAGAATGTTTATGACGTCTTTACACTAAAGCTGTTAGATGTGTACTGATTGTTACTTTGGTCTTATATCCACCTCATTTGTACTCCGTAGATGGTTGGCTTATTGGCAAAAATACCACATCTTATTTTATATCAACTCATTAGATCAATACAAAGCACTCAAACACTAAAGACATCGTTCAGGTCTGATAGTACTCACAGAGGCCAGTTACTGAAAGCTAGTTTAAAGCCAATAACAACTAATAAAAATCGTGTATCGAATGCTAAAAAAGATGACTTTTTTTACTTTTGTCCACAATGATACTCTGTGAACGCAACTCAACCGACAACGTTCGTCAGAGAGCTCTCATATTTGCTAGGATTGTTTGTTATATGTAGTTACATGGCCGCTCCGGAGGAGGGGGTATACCGTTTTACCTCAGTCTGTCCGTCCCAAGAAATGTCCGTTGCATTCTTCTCAGGATATATAAACCTGAGCTTCCTGAAATTCGGTATCAGGCTTTATGTGAGCATGCTACACTGCGAGGTGCGTATTCAGATTCATTCATCGCTTCTCACATTTCTGTTTACCAAATACTTATATTTTCGAAAACATCATTGCCATATAGTATTGTTGCATTGTATTTTATTGCATTGTATAGTATTGTTGCATTGTATCGTATTGCATTGTTATGCATTGTAATTGGTATTGCATTATATTATTGTATTGAATTGAACCGTATTGTATTTTACTGTATTGTATTGAATTGTAAAATTGTATTGTAGTGTAGTGTATTTGCATTGTACTGGATATTGTATATTGTTGTATTGTATCACATTGTACTGGATATTGTATATAATTGGTGTATTGTATTGCATTGTATAGTATTGTTGCATTGAATTGTATTGTACTGTTATGCATTGTAATTGGTATTGCATTATATTATTGTATTGAATTGAAACGTATTGTATTGTATTGCATTGCATTGTAAAATTGTATTGTATTGTAGTGTATTTCAAAAAAAATATTCTAATTCTATTAATTTAAAAAGCAAATATTTTTTCCTTCTTAAACAAATGGTGTATTTTTCAAGAAATTTGTATGACACAATAATTATTTATCTAAAAAAAAAAAAAAAAAAAAAAAAAGATCCCCAAATTTAATGGTCTGTTCCTTTTTACTGTTCCTTCTTCAGCTAAAAATCTATCATTCTGGTACCATTTATTCATGTTTGAGAAAATTGTAAAGTTATGTTTATAGATTTATTCAGATTCATTCTGCAAGATAATGTATTAGATGAACACTTGAGAGCGAAAAGGGTTATAAATAATAAAGACCTAAAAAGGGTATTAAAAGGTAAAGTTAATATTGTATGATTGTATCACGTTTATCACATTGTCTGCATGCCAGATAAAACTAATCGAGTAGACTGAAATATCCGTTACTTTGTTTTCCCGTTGATTTTTCGGTTATGATCGCAACAATTTCCGTTCCACTCACATTTAGTTTTAGTGTCATGTCTTTTCTTTTTGAAATATCGGTCAACTCAAAGTAAAGCACCCCAATACAACTACATCCGTCGTCGGTCACATATTTAGGATTCTTCTTTTGGGTTGCATAGAACTCAAAATGAACTCCTTTATACTCTCTACCAGCTGGAACATAATCATGTTCCGGTAAAAATTCTCCAATATTAACGACTTGACCAACTTCAACATGTTTATCAAACACATTGTCGACAAGACCATTTATCAAATATTTTTTCTTGGATTCGGGGTCGACGCCGGGGGTGAAAGGTCGTTGCATGGCTATACCGTAAGTATATTGTGAAACTCGACTTGTTATCATTTCTGGATTGAATCCAAATAAAACTGCGCCTTTCATCACTGCGATATCAGGATTTTTCGGAATAACAATACCGTACTTGTTTCCAAAATTTTTGTAGATTGCATTTGTAAGAACTGTAGAGTTGGAATGGCCACCAACAATTAAGATTGTCTCAACTCCTTCCAGTTGTTTTTTCTTTAGTAATTCTTCCATTTTTTCAACAATGTGTTGAAGAGAATAATCAAAAAATGTTCTGAAAAGTTCATTTTTTATCCTCAGTTTATCCCTACTTATTGTTATTTTCCCTTTATACGTGCTTTGTTTGACAGTTTCTTCTAGCTCGCAGTCTGTAATGATTTTGAAATGCTGCAACCATGAATATGGTACTCGCAAAGTTTGCTTGTCATTTGGATGTTTCGAGTGTTCATCAGTAAAAGAGGTCTTTGTGTGCTCAAAATTATAAAGTAATTGGTAATAATCGGAAGGATTATTATTCTTTACTTCATTAATAACGTCCCCACCAAGAAGTCTTATCAAAAAGTTGTAAAACTCGCCATTGACTGTGATTCCACCCCAGTGTCCCCCGCACGCTTGATGAATTTCTTTTAATGTATTCCTCCCAGTAACCTCGTGTACTGCTATATCAGTTGTTCCTCCTGTCGAAAATACAAAACGAAATTCATAAGTAAATAATGAAAAAGGTTAACATTATAGATGATAATCAATCTGATTAAAATATAGATCTCCGATTTCGTTATCCTCATACGATCTTCGACGAGTAAGCGAGTTACGATAGATCTGAATATTTATCAGAATTTATATCAATGTACTACAAAAATGTAAAAAAAAAAGACTGACAGAGATTGTAAGAACAAGACATGCTTTTTATTGGATAATAATTATTTATAATATGGTACTTAAGACTTAACATCCCACCATAACCCCTGAATGGAAGGTAAATGCAAGAAGTGTACGACAGCATGACTTGTTTTAATTAAAAAAAAGGTGTTGTATCTGTCACAAGAATAGAGAAAAAGAGATCTTAGTTAGAAATTCATACAATTAACCTAGACCAATATTGAGTGTCCCTATAAGGAATCAAAGCCTTAAAGGCTGTAAAAGCAATTGCTGCCATGTTAATGTTTTGGGGACTTTTTCATCCACATATATATAAGAATTAAACCTGACAGGAGTGTTGTCTAGTGAGAAGTAAGAAGGTTTTAACTTTGTATCAATAAAAGACTTTAGCAGAAAGTCATTTTTGATATGTTTTATATTTCATAAGGAGACAACACGTTTACCAGGCTAAAGTTGGGGTCACATTTACATGTGCTGAAACATATAACCCAAAAAGAAATTATCCCCTGGTAGTGTTTGTAACTGGGCAATAATTTCCTTTATTGGTTTAATTTAAGTAACTATCATAATTAATTTAAATTTAACCATTCAATTAAAACATTTCAACTTTCCAGACGCAAATGTTGAAAAACGGGAAAGAAATAAAATATCTTACAAGACATAAACATGTAAAAAATAAATATATATTTCAGCTTACTAAAAATATTTTCATAATGTTACTTTGTCTTCATTTCTTAAAACTAAGTCCCAAACATTATTGCTCAGTTGATATGTGTCATCCTCATGCGGTACGAGATAACTATAATTATCATGCAATCCCGAAAAGGGGGGTAATTACAGACAAACATGACATTAAATCGTCATTATACGAACAAGAACAAACAGCTCTTCGTTGCTTTGATATTTATCAATTTTCAGGAAACATTGCGAAAAATGATCTTCAATATTTCGAAAACATGTGAAATAAAATTGCAAAGACGGTGGACCGTCGAGTGTCAACACACGTAGTAGACTCGTCCACTGGAAAGACGAGGATAATGGTTTCATCATTTGTCATGCATACCCAGTTTTGATTATGATATCCAAAAGGACGTACTTTTTTCAATCTATGAAACTAGAAAATTCCAAATTGTAAATATCTCTTCATCTGGACTTGGCATCTATCACGTTTTGACGGGTCCATTTCATTAGTAAGGTGATCGATAAATCTTACGGAGTTATGACAAAAAAGGAAAACGAACTTATTGTTATGTGTTTTTAACAAGGGTTTCGTTCCACTAAATTACTTGCGCAAACAAATCAACAAAATAGGTCAGTTAAGTTTGTCTATTTTTAGATTACAGGTAATCATTTGACACTACGTATAACCTGTGTAGTGATTTTGATTTTACGATAAATTTATGAATGAACGATAATTTTATGAATGAACAAGAGCACCTGGCCTCTTTCTTAGAGAAACACCAATTAAACACATAAAACCGTATTTAATAAGAGATAATTCAGTAAAATTTTCAATACTAAATCAACAACTGAAATGATTCGATATTTTGTTGAAACATCGTACGAAAGGAGAACGGAATAGCAGGTATAAAAATGCACTTTTTTCACTCGGACTTCTATGTTTTTTGATAGTCAAACGGTTGTCCCCCTAAATACAAAAATACATCTACAAGAACATATGCTGAAACCTCTTAAATCCACTAACGTTTTTCAAAAGTTTTAAGCTATGTATTGCATTAGAAAACATACATAGGTGTTTAAGAATGACAGACCAGGAGCCTGTTTAACAAAATACTATGGCTTGATCTGGGCGGAGTCTCTGATTTGCGTCACAAAGATGGCCATACGCGATGGCATAAAAGCAATTGCTTTAAAAACTGTGCGGGGTGTATACATTCCCAGTCATATCCGTTTGGACCCCCACCCTCGAGTTGTTTTACAGTCTCTAAACATAAGGTATTGTATTTAAACTCCCCGTCCCACCAGTACGTGACAGCGTATTTATACATCCCACACTACCAAACGGCCCACTAACCGTGGGTGTTACTGTCGTATGGAAGAGCTCAAGGTTATCATTTCCTGTTCAACTATTACTTTTGAGGTCGCACATTTTTGAGTTTTTAAAAAGTAATGAAAGCATATCTGTTACCCCTTACCAAAAAGAAATGGTTATGGTTTCCGAATTACACAGTTGATTTGGCGACGCTCTCATGAAACATAAAATACCGCAGAAAAGCAAGGATGGGACATGAACTTTATATGTGCTTGCTACCACTTGAGCGTTTTCAATGCAAAAGACAAAACATGTACGAGAGGAGGGTATTCCAAACAAAAAAGAGGGAGGAATTGACATGGGCCATGTACCTAACTAGCTCTTAATCGACTTAAAACAAGACCTCACGCCACAAAAGAGAGCCTCTAATTTGTCACTACCCAAGAACACACGGATACCAAATATCAAAGCAATAATCTGAATGGAGAGGAAAAGTCAACATTTGTTTTTGTTGTTATTAGAAGCCTAATTTTTTGGCTTCACTTTTGGTCTCGATAATATTCGTTAAAAGTTTTCCAGAAACTTGTATGGATTTTTTTTATCAATCACGATTTGTGCAAAATATAGTATTATAGTATTTTGAGAGATAGCCACACAAATTACAAATTCACCAGTTTTATAATTAGACAGACGGCGGGTATTAGGCGAACATACAAAGTATGAAAAGTGTTAAGGAATGTAGGTCATGTGAGCTGCAATTGGGAGGAGAGAACAGGAGACAAGGAAAAATAGCATAGACATTGTTAAAAAGGACGGGGATTTCAGTGATAAGAACTGGATAAACTAATAAAATTATACGGAAATGTAGTTAAACATTGTAGGATTTGTTATGTATACATATATATAAACAAGTCTAAATTGAAAACAACGTTCAAACCTATGATTGCGTTGGATAAAAACCGCAATTTTTATACGTGTGCATGCAAAACAAATTTCTTGGTAGAGGGGTCTAAATACAGCACAAACAACATTTTCCAAAAGACCAAAAAAGTGAAAAAGTATATTTTAACAAAACGCATTTGACTAGCAAGTCGAACAACTGGTGTTCTTAAACCCTGCTGACTGCCATTGGCGATTGCCAAATAAACGGATCACCAGATGTAACAAAATGGATCTTATTATCAATTTTTTTACCAAACAGAAAACAATAAGTTTGCGGAAAAGATTGGAATACCGCAAACATGAGGTGCAAAAATTTGTACACCATATCCGGATTTCGACAATTAATGTCTCTTCAGTGATGTTAGGAATCGAAAAGGTATTTGGAAGGCCATATAATTTACCTCAATTAAGGATAGACTCTTGAATTTTGAAAGAGCCGAAATAGGATGAACGGATCATATAAATCCGAAGGCAAATATAATACAAGCCCAAACGAAAAAATATAAACAAGTCTAAATTGAAAACAACGTTCAAACCTATGATTGCGTTGGATAAAAACCGCAATTTTTATATATATATACAAGTCAAATGCGTTTTTGTTAAAATATACTTTGTCACTTTTTTGGTCTTTTGGAAAATGTTGTTTGTATTGTATTTAGACCCCTTTACCAAGAAATTTGTTTTGCATGCACACGTATAAAAATTGCGGTTTTTATCCAACGCAATCATAGGTTTGAACGTTATTTTCAATTTAGACTTGTTTATATATAATTTATATACGACACTATGTCATTTGTATTTACCGCCTTGATCAAGGACAACATATTTTGACCCAACATCCATTGCTGCAATAACTTTACCGCCATCATCCTCCTCTTTAATACTGACCGGTACTTTACGACAGTACAATGAGGCAGCTTCTGGTTCCAATGCTAAGGTCAAATTATCACGTAATATACCAGCCTACAAGACAATTGAGATATAACGATAACCATAGGCTCTAAAGAGCCTGTGTCGCTCAGTTAGGGAAAAGCGCCAAAAATTGTTAAAAATCGTTTTTCAAGGGCAATAACTTCAATAATGGGTCGTCATATGATATCAACCTTGCTGATTTATTGTTGATCTTGTGTTACTGATAATTTTTGCTATTTAAAGTTTTCCCCTATCTGTTATGATATTTTTCATATCAGGTCAAAACGCAAAAAAAAAAAAAAAATCGTCACTAAAGGGCAATAAATCCATAAAGGAGTCGTCTGACGATTTCGACCATGTTGAATTATTTGTAAATCTTGCCTTACTAACCATTTTGTTATTTAAGACACAAATGGTAAACATTTGGTAAATTTCTCCTATAAGAAGTCGTCGAACAGTTTTTATGTGAATAGCCAATTGATAGAACTCATGTCTGCCCTTGACAGATTTTCTTTATTTATAACGGTTTTCAAGATAATAGAAAAAAACTTGCATTTTACCCTTATGTTCTATTTTAGCCATGTTGGCAATGTTAGTTTGTTAGCGGGCGGGTTCATTGAACACAATTTTGTAAACTAGATACCCTATATAATGATGATTGTGGCTTTACTGATAAGTTTGGTTAAATTTGGCCCAGCAGTTTAAGCGGAGAAGATTTTTGTAAAAGTTAACGACGACGACGGACGTCAGACTTCAAGCCCTTTGTGCCAGATTAGCTAAAATGATATTTATTTGTAACAGTCTTTTCAGTTTCATGAAGATTTGATTTATTCATGAACAAATGTTACCGTCGAAACCACAGGTACAAAACAAGATTTTATTTTGTAATTTGTATATATACTGAATATACTAGTGTTAAAAAAATCTCGTATGTACTTATGGTCGAAACAGTTGTATTAGCAACTGCAATTAAAAGATTACAACCAAATGATACAATCATCCTGCCAAAAAAAAAATGCATCCGGATTTCCTTTCTTCCAAAATATCAAAAACTCTCGCAAAAACTAAAAGATTCTATATCAACAAGTAGCTGTATATTATATGCAAAAGTTATCTTTAAATTATCCAATACACTCACAAAGTCGACACGCTACAAATTATTGTAGAGGACAATGAAGCAACTCGCTTATTAACTGGAAAAATGTAACTTTTGCATTCAACCATTTTTTAAGTAACATAATCTTCAAACTCTGTACCTGTTCTGCTGCATCACGCATAAACTGTTTCGCTTTAAGATCCCAGATGGCGGGAACTGTAATCACCCACTGTATATCGGCGTCTGTAAACACGGTTCCTTGTTGGTTTTTAGACTGCACGAGATCTTTTTTGAAATATTTTATGACAGCAGCAAAAACATCAACTGCTTTCATTTTCTTCTTCATTTCTGGGTTTTTGACCTCCAGTGATTCTTCCAGCATAGTTTCCTTAGTCAACATGTCCTGTAAAATGGAAAATGTTGACGTCTTTTAGGTTTTTTGTGTGTCTATTATGAGTTACTGTTTGACGTATATGTATATGTATATGTATATGTTATAGATATATTTTGAAATTTCCAATTTACAAAATTGGAAACAGAACAAAGGAGAAAGTCCGGTAAGGGCTAGTTTTGGCCTAATATTCGAAGTGCATCTGATGAAAGATTTTTTACATTTTTTTAAACACTTCAGTGTCTACTTCAGTCGATTAAATTAGTTTATGTGATTGTTAAAGATTTGCACTGATTTGGTCATTAAAGACGCTCAAATCCGAGCTTAAATATGAAAAATCTATCAAATATGACTTTTCAGATGGTTTTTGTCTAAAATGAAGTGGCCGCATTCGTGTTCAGTCTCAACTTTTATATATGTTATGTATTATCATCAAATACAACATATATCTAAATATTAAGACTGAACACACATGCGGTCACTTCCATTTTAGACAAAAACCGTCTTAAAATTAGCACAAATGCTACAATTGTGAATAATTCAGTAATTTTGCATGAATTTAATATGATGCTACTAGTATTACATGTGCATTGTATTGTCAAAAACAGCCCATATTTATGGAACAAAAGTATTCTACTTTCCAATAAATAGATAAAAGTTTACATTTCAACAAAGATATAAGCCAGGAGCCTGAAATTCAGTAAAAATGCTATATTTTGGGACCAAAAAGGGGTCTTACCGGGCCTACTCCTTTATCAAGCAAGCTTTAAAATAATAACAAAAAAAAAACTAAGGTAGTAAATTCATTGCGCAACCAATTATGGCTATTTTTTTGTTTAAGCATATCTTTGATTTCATTTTCCTTAAACGCATTCGTCTCACTAAGCAGAATTGCCTACTTCCAAAGTATCAATCAATATAAAAAAAGGAGACGTGGTATGATTGGCAATTAGACCACTATCCATCACAGACCAAAATAAACTGCTTCGTTGAGCGCAGCTGGATACGCCCGCAGAGGTCCAACCCTGAACAGTTGGGGCAAAAATGGACACAATATTCAAGCTTGATACAGGTCTGAATTTGGATTGTAAATAAATATTTGATATATTATAGGTTTCTGAATAAATGTAGTCAAAGAACTTGAAATTGGTTATATGAAAGATTTCTTGTTGTTGTGCAATACATTGTGCTGTTGCGCAATACTTAGTAAATCTGTTGTCAGACTATAAACAAATAAAATCTTATAACTCGGAAACGTAAAATCGAAAATTTATAAAAATCAAAAGGGAGCTTACAAAAATAGATATAAACAATTTACCAAAGTTTCATAAAAAATGCTGAAAGCATTTTTGAGTTATTGTCCGAAAACTGGAAAATCCCCCTTTTTGTAATGAATAAAACCCCATAAATCGGAAACGTATAGTCTGAAATTTATAAAAATCAAAAGGGAGCTCATGTCGATAGAAATACACAATTCACCAAAGTTTCTTGCAAATTGGTGAAATTGTTTTTGAGTTATTGTCTGAAAACTGGCAAATCCCCCCTTTTTTAATGAATAAAACCCCAAAACTCGGAAACGGTAAATCCGAAATTTATAAAAAACGAAAGGGAGCTCACGTCAATAGATATGAACAATTCACAAAAGTTTCATGCTAATTGGTGAAATTTTTTCATGAGTTATTGTCCGAAAACTGGAAAATTCCCCCCTTCTTTTATGAATAAAACCCCAAAATTCGGTAACGGTAAATCCGAAATTTATAAAAAACGAAAGGGAGCTCACGTCAATAGATATGAACAATTCACAAAAGTTTCATGCAAATTGGTGAAATGGTTTTTGAGTTATTGTCCGAAAACTGTAAAACCCCCCTTTTTTAATGAATAAGACCCCAAAACTCGGAAATGGTAAATCTGAAATTTATAAAAAACGAAAGGGAGCTCACGTCAATAGATATAAACAATTCATCAAAGTTTCATACATATTGGTTAAATCGTTTTTGAATTAATGTCCGACATGTTGACGACGGACGGACGGACAGACGGTCAACGGTATACCATAATACGTCCCGTAAACGGGCGTATAAAAAAAGACATGGATCTAAGAAACAGTGTATAGGTTATCGTACGGTTTTCAACAATGAACAAAACCACTTCCGTAGATATTTAATCTACAATAGGCAAGACAAAATGAGTTTAATAAATATTTCTTTCATTAAACTCGTGTTTTATGTCATAGAAGCATTTCTGATTTATCTTTTTTTGTTTATTGTTTTCGAAATTTATTTATATCATTGATATAAGCCAGGAGCCTGTTTTTCAGTTGTTGTGGTTTGTTGCTGTATACTATATTTGCTTTTCGTTCATGGTTTTGTATATATATCAGGCAGTTATAGTTTTCTCGTTTGAATGGTTTTACATTTATCATTTCGGGGCCTTTTACAGCCGACTTTGCGGTATGGGTTTTGCTCATTGTTGAAGGCCGTACGGTGACCTATAGTTATTAACTTTTGTTATTTGGTCTCCGGTGGAGAGTTGTCTCATTAGCAATCATACAACGTCTTCTTATTCTAATATGTAATAGAAAATAAAATGGAGAATGGAAACGGGGAAACAACCCGACCAAGGAGCCGAAAACAGGCCAAGGCCACCAATGGCTCTTCAACGCAGCGAGGAAAAAAGAAAAACATGTAAATATTTTGCAGTGTACGCATGACACAAACTATGTAAAAACAACAGAAAGTCATATTGAAAAAAAATTATATAGATAAAAATACCTTTTCTTTGAATAGCATCATTTTGAAATGTTCAAAGTAGTACCATTTCCTGAAATCCATACTGTTTGGGTTTGTCCGAAATTTAGTCATTGCGTCATACCCAAAACTGTCTAATTCTTTATCTGGATTAAACAGAACACATGTTGGGGCTTTATCTGTTATATAGGATCCTTCATTCCATTCTCGAACTTTCATTTTTGGATTGTTTGTATTTTTGGTATATTCATCCCGAGTGCAAACGGCATATCCAGAATAGGTTGTCCCAAAGTCTATAGCTGCGACAAACAGCTTGTCATGTTTTATATCCTACAATACAGAAAAATGATGAACATCCCTTTTGGAGCTGCTTCAGAAGAGTGATGGAAGAGTCCAATGGACAATTAACGGAACGCTTCATGGAATTAGCTATTATTCTAAGGTCCTTTTTGGTCATATAGCTCTTCGACTGATTCTGTTCTTATACATCCTTGGCTTTCCTGATGAAGGTAAATCCAGAAAAGCGCTTTGGACACATGCAAAGTTTCTTGATTCACAACTTTATTTCAACCCAGCACTTAAACAAATATGCAGTCGCCTATAGTGGAAGGGTATATTTGGCCAATCGTAAATAGAACACTTGTTAAAAAAACCCCTTGGTTCCTTAAAGTGACAAAATACTATCCAATATATATTAAAACTTTAAAAAAATGAAACTATAATATTTTTAAAAGCATAAAATATTTCAATATCTGTAACATCGGTTTCCTTTGATATCTTTACTTACAACTGTTTCATCTGATATATATATACTTACAACTGTTTCATCTGATATCTACACTTACAACTGTTTCATCTGATGTATATTATACATAAAATTGTTTCATCTGATATCTTTACTTACAACTTTTTCATCCGACATCAATACTTACAACGGTTCATCTGGTTTATATTTTTACAACTGTTCATCTGATATTTACACTTACAACTGTTGAATCTGATGTATATTATACATAAAATTGTTTCATCTGATATCTTTACTAGCAACTGTTTCATCTAATATCTATACTTACAACTGTTTCATTTGATAGCTATACTTACAACTATTTCATCTGATATCTAAACGTACAACTGTTTCATCTGATATCTATTCTTACAACTGTTTCATCTGATATCTATATTTACAACTGTTTCATTTAATAGCTATACTTACAACTGTTCATCTGATATCTATACTTACAACTGTCCATCTCATATCTATATTTACAACTGTTCATCTGATATCTATACTTACAACTGTTTCTTCTGATATCTATACTTACAACTGTTTCATTTGATAGCTATACTTACAACTGTTTCATCTGATATCTGTACTTATAACTGTTTCATCTGATATCTATACTTACAACTGTTTCATCTGATATCTAAACTTTCAACTGTTTCATCTGATATCTATTCTTACAACTGTTTCATCTGATATCTATACTTACAATTGTTACATCTGATATCTATACTTACAACTGCACATCTGATATCTATACATACAACGGTTCATCTGATTTATATTATTACAACTGTTCATCTGATATTTACACTTACAACTGTTTCATCTGATGTATATTATACATAAAATTGTTTCATCTGAAATCTGTACTTACAACTTTTTCATCTGATATCTATACTTACAACTGTTTCATCTGATAGCTATACTTACAACTATTTCATCTGAAATCAAAACGTACAACTGTTTCATCTGATATCTATACTTACAACTGTTTCATCTGATATCTATATTTACAACTATTTCATTTAATAGCTATACTTACAACTGTTCATCTGATATCTATACTTACAACTATTCATCTCATATCTATATTTACAACTGTTCATCTGATATCTATACTTACAATTGTTTCATCTGATATCTATACTTACAACTGCACATCCGATATTAATACTTACAACGGTTCATCTGGTTTATATTTTTACAACTGTTCATCTGATATTTACACTTACAACTGTTGAATCTGATGTATATTATACATAAAATTGTTTCATCTGATATCTATACTTACAACTGTTTCATTTGATAGCTATACTTACAACTATTTCATCTGATATCTAAACGTACAACTGTTTCATCTGATATCTATACTTACAACTGTTTCATCTGATATCTATATTTACAACTGTTTCATTTAATAGCTATACTTACAACTGTTCATCTGATATCTATACTTACAACTGTCCATCTCATATCTATATTTACAACTGTTCATCTGATATCTATACTTACAACTGTTTCTTCTGATATCTATACTTACAACTGTTTCATTTGATAGCTATACTTACAACTGTTTCATCTGATATCTGTACTTACAACTGTTTCATCTGATATCTATACTTACAACTGTTTCATCTGATATCTAAACTTTCAACTGTTTCATCTGATATCTATACTTACAACTGTTTCATCTGATATCTATACTTACAATTGTTACATCTGATATCTATACTAACAACTGCACATCTGATATCTATACATACAACGGTTCATCTGATTTATATTATTACAACTGTTCATCTGATATTTACACTTACAACTGTTTCATCTGATGTATATTATACATAAAATTGTTTCATCTGATATCTTTACTTACAACTTTTTCATCTGATATCTATACTTACAACTGTTTCATTTGATAGCTATACTTACAACTATTTCATCTGAAATATAAACGTACAACTGTTTCATCTGATATCTATACTTACAACTGTTTCATCTGATATCTATATTTACAACTGTTTCATTTAATAGCTATAATTACAACTGTTCATCTGATATCTATACTTACAACTATTCATCTCATATCTATATTTACAACTGTTCATCTGATATCAATACTTACAATTGTTTCATCTGATATCTATACTTACAACTGCACATCCGATATCTATACATACAACGAGTCATCTGATTTATATTATTACAACTGTTCATCTGATATCTATACTTACAACTGTTTCTTCTGATATCTATACTTACAACTGTTTCATTTGATAGCTATTCTTACAACTGTTTCATCTGATATCTGTACTTACAACTGTTTCATCTGATATCTATACTTACAACTGTTTCTTCTGATATCTATACTTACAACTATTTCATTTGATAGCTATACTTACAACTATTTCATCTGATAACTATGCTTACAACTGTTTCATCTGGTATGTATACTTTAGTTTAGTATGGCGTTCATTATCACTGAACTAGTATATATATTTGTTTAGGGGCCAGCTGAAGGACGCCTCCGGGTGCTGGAATTTCTCGCTGCATTGAAGACCTGTTGGTGACCTTCTGCTGTTGTCTGTTCTATGGTCGGGTTGTTGTCTCTTTGACACATTCCCCATTTCCTTTCTCAATTTTATTACAACTGTTTCATTTGATAGCTATACTTACAACTGTTAATCTTATATCTATACTTACAACTGTTTCATTTGATATCTATTCTTACAACTGTTCGTCTGATATCTATACTTACCACTGTTTCATTTGATATCTATACTTTCAACTGTACAACTGATATCTATACATACAAATGTTCATCTGATATCTATACTTACAACTGTTCATCCAAAATCTATACTTACAACTGTTTCATCTGATATTTATACTTACAATTGTTTCATCTGATATCTATACTTACAATTGTTTCATTTGATATCTATACTTACAACTTTGTCACTCATCCTCGCTTGTCACTCATCTCAAATAAACAAACGAATTTAATTCTAAAACAATGAAAAATATATAGATATACTTTCTGCCAGCTGTATAATTCAAGCAATTGGACATTCCTATCGTTACATGATAGATGTGGATTTCCCATGCATTTATTTCTTTTTACTTTACATGTACAGGACAAGTCTTGAATATATACAACAAACATACGAATAGTTTATTTGAGAATCAGGGAGCCAGGATAAGAAGAATAAGCACAATCATATTTATCAAACATCACATAAACTAATGTGTTTTCTTTTATGTTTATTGGGTTGCTGTCTCGCTGTTGTATACCCATTTGTGGCAGATGCGTTCGACTCCAACGATTGTTAAAAAGCCGATGGTTCTCTCCGAGCACTCTGGTTTCCACCACTAATAAAAAAAACGCCGCCAAGATACAGCCAAGATTGACACCAACAAACAATCAATCAATCAATCATCGACGTAGACAACACATATTCATATTTATTATATTTAACAGAATAATAAATAAATCTAATCAATTCAAATCAAAATTCGGGCCCATTTATAGTATTGGTACTTGGGAACAGATCCATTTTTTTAGCCCTCCTCTTTTTTTCTAAAATCCGTCCCGCAGGGAGAGGGCTAAAATAAATTGTCTTGCCCCCAAGTATCTATGATTTACAGCATATAGATCAATACAAATCACAAAGTTAATACAATATCCAAACATACATCACATGCAATCTAACATACATACTGATTATTAATAATAAAACAATGATTCAGAGCATATATATGGATTTTTTTTTATTTAGAAACAGACTAAATACTGTAAAATCTTAATCTCTATTGTCATGATCTAGATAAAAAGATTTTCTAAATTATTATTTTTTCAGGTAAGGAAACGTTTGAAATACATTTTCATTTTCTGAGAACTATAATATTGGTGATTTTCGCGAGACTGTATTTGGTTTTCGTTAATGTCTCCAAGTTTCTATTCTCAAACTGCTTTAAAATATTTTTTTTCGGTTATTAAAATTGTTCATATGTAAGGGACTTTCAAAATAAAAAGTAAAGTTGAATTTGTAATATGTGCTGAGTTTTCCTGTATCTTATAAATAACTATTTCTTATATCTAGCTATGTCTTAAGAACGTTCTTCTGGAGACATTTCTTCAAATCTAAAATCAATACTAAGTTTTTTAGCAAATAGATAGGTTATATCCAGTTTTTCAAGTGTAAAAAAAAAATATTTGAGTACAATGAATTATTGACTGTTTTTTTTCTAGATTTTAAATCATTATGTGGTAATCTGAGTAGGTCAGAAGGGGGAAGTCCAAATATAATGGGTATCTCCCAAGTTCTTAAGGGACTGTTATGTTTGTACAGAGTTGAGAAACACCTAGAATGTGTGTACAAAATTCAAATTTAAGCTTTCCATTTCCAATTCTTTGAAAATATCAAATAGAGAGAGATTTGTTTTTCTTGTTTTAGCAATGTTAATGACTCACTAGTTCTCACAACCATACAGTAACAAGAGTTGAATGCAATGATAACAGATGTCTCTAAATTTCATATCTTTATATAAATTGAAACATGCTTTCTCGTTTGAATTGCTTTACAGTTGTCATTTAGGGGCCTTTTATAGCTTACCACGCGGTATGGGTTTTGCTGATTGTTGGAGGCTGTACGATGACCTATAGTTGTTAACCTCTATGTCATTTCGTCTCTGCTTTAGAATTGTCTCATTGGTAATCATGGCATATCTTTTATCTTTTTATTTTCATTCTTTTTTTTTATATGATTGTTTTTGTTTTTGGCTCCATTAACATTTCCAGTATTTTCGATTATAAGAACTAAATACTTAAATTGTTATACAAATTCTATAGTATCGGTTTAAATATGAAACCTATCAGTCAATAGCTTAACAGTTTTGTTTTTTACAATGATTAGGCCTACCTTCGTCTTTTCCTATTAATTTCTATACAGCATTCTGTTCAATAGTTGTCGTTCAGAATATCTAGCTTTTTAATAACATATTGATTTGATTGACAAACGTTGCAGTCAGCAAACATTAATTAAAACAACAAATAAAAAAAGCAATTGTTTAAAATTATCGTTAAGGTCTTCTATATAAACTTACCAATTCTCTGATAAAATATGACTGAGTGTTAGCTGACCATTTTAATTGATCTATAGCTGTCTCTACAATAAAAATCTAGTTTCGGTTTATAAAACAGTATTACAGTACACGGTTCATTGATTAACCTTCCTTGTTTTAGTTCAAGATATGAACCTTGATAAGGCGGGAAGATTCAAATTTAATATACTGGATTAATACACTGTATATCTCTATATATAATTAGTACTAGTATATGTACTGTAAACAAGATTTACTACCATATACTGAATTACCGCTGTATAATACAATACTTGTTTATTTCTGTGATTTATAATAGACTGCTTATAATTGATCTGTTTAGCTTAAGAAGCAAAAGCTAAATTTACAGAAACAAAGTAATTTAAACAGGATAGCTGTATGCATGTGTTGACCCTTTATTGTCAAAGTCCACACAAAGCGCAAGACATGTACAATAGTTACCAAAAGCATGTGGTTAAATGCTAGTATAACCCTTCCATAGAACGGAGCCAATTGCGACAGATTAAAATTATTTCATATAAATTTCTCAACTACTGAAGTCTCTCAACTCACAGAAATCAGTGGCGTAGCTTCCCTTGGAGAAATGAGGCAACTGACTCGCCAAATGGTTTACAAAAAATGAATTTGAGAAGATAAATGTAAAACACGTACTAATATTTCATAGTTTAGAGTATATATTAAACATGGTTCCAAAAATGTGACTTCTCTACCCCTAACCGCTCGTTCCTCATTATTAAATTAAAAACTATTATGTTAAACTTTGTTCCAAAAAATGACTGAGGTAGAGAAAACCGACTTGTTTTAGGAGCGACAAATTATACTTTGTCAACAACCCTGATTAAAACAAGGACAGAGGTGGATTATAAGGGGAGGGACCCCTAATGGAGCTACATACTTGTATCTGGTAAATGCACAGACTTAACATGTCAAACTCCTAACGTTACCTAGTTCCCCCTTTTCTTCCCTTTTTCAATATCGTTGATCTACATCTGAAGAGGTCTGAACTGTGAAGCTGACATGTGCTTGATTTTTTTTATTGACCACAATTGTTTTACGTTATGATGACGTGGTTTAAACAGACACTTGTCATTCCTATGGGAATCAATCGTGCTCCTATCCACATAGATGTGTATCTTAATTCATATAAGCCATACTTCATACTATACGGTATTGCTTTTTCTCATTGTTGAAGGCCGTACAGTGACCTGTAATTGCTTATACGTCTTTTGAACTCTGATGGAAAGTTATCTCATTGGCAATCACACCACATCTTCTTTTTTTTATTCATAGTTTAACCAGTTTTAATACATAAATGCACCTAGGTAACCCCCTAAACGACAAAGACAGTGGATCTTAAAACATCACCGAATCTATACAAAAGCTTTATAGGGGAAGTCATTATTTCGGAAGTTATTTTTGTTTCGAATAGAACTTTGTGCTAGTGTGTGACCAATCAAGAGCACTCCTTCCCACCTCATCCCACCCCCTCGCCAAAAAATGATATCATGATTCCAATTATAAATACAACGTACATGTAGTAAAGGTATGAAAAATCCTCTGTCAAATAATAATATTATGAGACTGCAAAAAGATGTAATTTGTTATGATCATGAATAAGATAAGATAAGATAAGATAAGAATTTTATTAATCTAATCAAGAACCCATAAAGGGCATCATTTACAACAATATTAAGCACAATATGATTGGAAAAAAGAAAAACTATATCCTAATATAATACTATCATATATTGGACAGGATCAGAGCCTAACACATCATGTGTCTTACATAACATTAACAATAATTGCATAATAATTTTATATATTTTGTATCCACCTGGATCTTATTTCTAAACACTTAATTATATAATTGCCTAGGCACATAAGAGTTGGTAAATGCTCATTTGTGAACAGCCAGAAATATTTTTTATCCTTGGGTAATTCTTTAAAATTATTACAAAAACTGTTTACTTTATCCCATAATAATTTTCTCTGTTCGTTATATAAAGGACAACTTACTGTGAAATGGGTCTCATCTTCAATAGAATTTGATCCATGTGATAGGCAGTGATGACATAGACGCTGACTTCTCTCTATGTATTTTTTACTATACCTATCTTTCTCAATTTTAAGATCATGTGCACTTATTCTCAATTTACATATAGCTCTTCTTATATTAAAATCTTTAATTGATAAATAAGCCTCCTTTACGAAGTCAGTCTTGAGGTTGAAATAATTTTCTAATTTACTATTACCTTGTGATAAGGTATCAGATCTTTTGACCTCCCAAAATGTTTTAAAACTGTTACAAAGTTTACATTTTACAAATTTAATTAATCTATTGAGCTTTGTATTCAAATTTTGTATATCAAGTGATTGAAGGACATATCTCATAGATGAATACCAACAATTAATGTTTCCTGCATCTAAAATTTTATTACAAACATAAGCATCATAAAGTAACCCATCGTCCAATTTGTTAAGCCTGTGTACATATTTTACCATAGATATAATGACAGAAAAATAAAGAGGAAATCTTGCAACCTCTGATAACACTGCCAAATTTGAGGCTTTTTTATTTACACCAAGAATATATTTTAGATACCTGAAATGTGATTTTTCCAAATAATCATTTATGTAAATTAATTCAAATAGATAATCACTTTTTTTCTTGCAAGCAGCAGAGTTAATCTTAAAGGAACCCCAGATTTCACTACAATATAATAAAATTGGTTTTATTGTGTGATCATATAAATGGATTGCAGTATCAATACTTGGATTACAAGCTGACATGGATTTTTGTAGTTTAAATTTTGCCTTTAAGGACTTTTTGAATAGCTCTTCTTTCCCCTGCTGAAAAAGACCACTGGAAGTAAAGACTATCCCTAAATATTTATATCTGTTAACACATTCTATAGCCTCATTATCTAAACAAAGTGATTCCTTCAAAAATTTTCCAGGCTTGTTAAAAATTAAAACTTTTGTTTTGGACAAGTTAACATCTAGACACCAATCAATACAATAAGTTTGCAGGTTATCAAGTCGGGTTTGCAGACCCTGTTTAGTGTTTGATAATATAATAATGTCATCGGCGTACATAAGACAATCAATTCTACGCCCATTGATATAAACAGCATCTGGACTCGACTCAAATCTTGGAGGCAGATCGTTAATGAAAAGCTTAAATAAATTTGGGCTTAGAACATCCCCTTGCCTAACCCCAACTAGCGAGCTGAAAGATGGCGTTAGTACATTACCCACTTTCACCGACATTTCATTTTTTCTGTACATGTCTTTTAAAATAGTATAAAATTTTCCAGATATGTTATTTTCCAATAATTTGTATCTAATACCACAGTGTATGACCCTATCAAAAGCCTTTTTAAAGTCCACAAAGCAAGCATAAATTTTCCCCCCTTTTCTGTTAGTATATTTATCTAATATGGTTTTTAAAACAAACATATGGTCAGATGTTCTGCTCTTTTTTGAGAAACCAACCTGACATGGATGAATTATATTATTTTTATCAAGATGAATGTCAAGTCTTTTATTAAGAATACTGTTAAATAATTTTCCAATGCATGAATTAATTGCTATGCCTCTGTAATTTTCAGGTTTACTAGGACTCCCTGCTTTAAAAATTGGACATATATAAGACAATGACCATTTGCGAGGGTATGTTCCAGAGCAGAATATCAAGTTAAAAAGTTTCTGCAAAACAGGTGCAAATATACTACCCCCTGATTTTAATATCTCGTTTGGGATACCATCTAGTCCTGCAGCTTTATTATTCTTTAGTTTATTTATAGCATCCAAAATTTCTTTTAGGGTTATTTTGTAATCCAGTTCACAAAAAGTTGGATTATTTTCTAAATTTTTTACTTTCTTGTTAATTTCCTCTAATCTGTCTTTAAATTTGTCAGAGTTGAGATTTAAAGATTGAAAATATGAAAACCAGACGTTAGTTTGAATAGAATGTTCTGGACCATCCAAATTGTCTTCTTTTAATTCTTTGATGAGATTCCAATAACTCTTTGGATTATTATCCCTTAGATTATCCAGACTGTCAAGAATGTTTTGTTTAAATTTCCTTTGTTTATATTTACGTAGCTTATTATACTCCCTATAACATTTATAGTAAGACCCTTTTATAATTGGGTCCCAGGGGAATTTTGATAACATCTCACCTTTAGAAATAAGGCTTTTACGTTTTTGTACCAGGTCTTTGTCAAACCATTTTTTGTTTTTGTATTTACGTGCAACTTTTTTCTTGGTTTTACGGAATATTAAACATTTACTGGCAGCATTATCTATTATATCAAAACATTCATTAGCTGCCTTTTCAATATAGTCCTCTGAAAGATTAAATTTTGTGTCTAAAAAATTTTTGATACTATTTCTAATAATTGGCTGGCATAAAGTATCTTGAAGTTTTTGTGTAGAGGTTTCTGACCATATATATTTTCCTGGAAATAAAATAGTATTGTCTTGCTCCTTAGCTTTATGCGAGTAACTAGCTAACAGGCCAAATGTCAGTTTACAGTGACAGTCTGACAGAGTTGATAAAAAATCAGCAACATGAAAAAATAAAGTATCTTCATAAGTATCTACCTAATTCATTATTACCCTGTATACAAATAGGACTGCGATATAGATATATGTTCACCCAAAAATTCTTTCGTGTGACAGAAAAGATTATGCCGAAAGGGGCATTCGCTTGGCTTCGCGGGAAAGTACCTGTAGGTACTATATACAAGACCCTATCCTGCAGTAAAACCCATGCTTAAAAGGAGCGTCCGTTTGGTTGTGTGGGATATATAGCCACATCCAGTGGTCTTAACGTTACAGAATCCATAATAAACTGTCAGGGGTCCATAAGGGACCGGTTGAAAGGCAAGATATATGCCCATGTCTAAAATGGTCACTTTAAAGATACAGTCGAAGTTCGTGTACTCATCCTGGTCGACCCTTTCTGTAGAGCCCTAGTATATATTGGATTATTGGTTATGTGTTCTTTTACTGAATTTGCATGAAATATTTGTCATTTGATGTGATGTCAAGCAAACAACAATAGATCAATACTGTATAAAATTC